TCATAAAATTTTTTCACTCTTCATAAATAGAAATTTTGTAGGATTTTTTTTTAAGCATAGGGTAGAGCAATAAAAAGTCTGTTTAAAAAATGAATATAAAGTAGCCCATAACTTTTTTATGACTAAAGCTACAGGTCAAAAAAATTTATTTTTAAAAAGCCCTAATTGGATATATGAACATGGTTCACACTTTGATATTTGTATAAAACAAAAATTATTTTTTGAGTGTTCAACCCTTCCTAGCACCCAAACTATAAAAGTTATTTATCTATTTTTTTCAATGAGCAGGCCTTGAAAAATTGGGCTATGAACATGCATTTCAACCCTGTATCTATTCTCTTAGGCCTTTCTTAGGGGGGGGCTTAAGACGCCCTCCCCCAGTCTTTAAATAGATTTAGACCACTTAGCCTTTATAGGGTTAACATTGGATTTGGATACCCCCCCACACCTTGGGGGTAACTTCTTAAAGTAGCTTAACTAAGTAATAAAAAAAAAATTCATGAAAATTTTCAGCAATAAAGTATCCAGAGCATGTTGTGTTGATAGTTTTGCATGACATAAAAAGATGTTAACAGATGGAAAAATAAAATATTTTGATCTGAGGATGTAATTTTAATTCTTAATTTGATATTTAGAATATTGCATGATGAGCAAACATTAATTACGATATTTATGATCATAATTTCAAACATTTGTTTTACATTATGGATTATTGATGAACCAGTTGACTGTAGTTAATATATTTATCTACAATAGCATATTAAATTCTACTACATGTTTTCTCAAGATTAGATTCTTTATTCTTCAGCTATTCATGACTATTATTGCTGCACTTATTACATGTTTTTTAACAATTTTCTTTTTCTTGTTTTAATTATTCTGTTTCCCTGTCATCTTCCCAAGCAAATTTTTAAAAATTCCCTAAAATCTCTGATCATTTGCGCAGTTATACTGTGTTGTGTATTCCTTTTGGTCTGAAACCTTTGCATTTGTTTCTGTATCTAGATCTTACAACTGGATTAAGTATTTGTATACATTGTTTTTCTGTATCTTTCTCTACACCCAACATATCTTAGATTATTGCTTGATTTTGAGGTAGAATTTACTGTTTTAAATAATGAGTACAATGGGTTTATCAATTTTGGCTGTAGTTCTCAAAGTCTATATTCAACTGCATGCCAGATTTTCCATTGATACATAGACTTGAGGTCACCCAATTTTTTTGCCTGTTTTATTCAAGGCATGGTCAGTAAGATTTACAGAGGTTTCCAGTCACTTATTGAGGTAGGGAGTCGAATGGGAGTAATTGTTCAATTCATTGAAGGTTCATCCAGAAGCATCTTACCTAACTAACTCAACAATTCCAGTATTATCCTCAGCATTTAGTTCTATACATCCAGAAGCATCTTACCTAACTAACTCAACAATTCCAGTATTATCCTCAACAGCAAATACAACTTCTAATACACCAATTGTATTTGTAACATCCTCTCAAATTAATTCAATATCTTTAATACCTTAAGTTTTATTGTATTTTTTCCTAATTAAGTTTTTTCCAGTTTAATTCCATGCATGGCATTGAGATGGACTGTGTGTAATGGTATTTGACTAACCAAACAGGAGATACAGTTATTTCATCTTTATATATTATTATCTATTTTAACCCTAACACAATGTGGGGGGGGGATCCATTTGGTTTTTGTTGAATAACTTAAAAACAACACTAAAACTTTGCAAAACATTTTTTTTATGCATAGAGTAGGGTGGAGGACAGTCAAACGGCGGGTTGGTGTTTCAAAAAAAAAGAAATGGTTAATACATTTCTATAAAATTAAGCTATAGGGCTTAAAATTTGCATATTCAAAAAGCCCTTGAAAATTGGACATAAGAACATGTGTCACAAGTTAATAATTGTCAAAATGTACAATAATCATTTTTGAACTTCGTTTCAACTTACTTCTTGAACTTATTTTTAAATCCTTCCTTACACGATTGAAAAGTTGGACTAGAGACATGTATTACACTCCCTTAACTCATTTCTAAGGGCAAAATCATGGTGCTATGGAAACACCTCAACACTGAATCAGACCCAAAAAAAACGGAAATTTCCCAAAAATTAATTTTTTTGAGGCGTTTCCTGTTTTTTCAAAAATTATCGGAAATCCCTCAAATCCAATTTTTAGAGGAATTTCCCGTTTTTTTTTTATCCGTTTCCTCGATTTTTAGTTTGGATTCCTTTTTATCAGGGTCTTATATTGTTGAGGGATTTCCCAATATTTTTGATCTGTTTCCTCATTTTTTGTGTCGGTTTCCGGTTTTCAGAAAAAGTTTAAAATTCTTAGTTTGTTGATCGGTTTCCTCTTTTTTTGAGTCCGTTTCCTCTTTTTTGGGTCCGTTTCTGATTTTCAGAAAAAGTTGTAAATTCTCAGTTTGTTGATCGGTTTCCTCTTTTTTTGGGTCTGTTTCCGGTTTTCAAAAAAGAATTTTAAAATCTCAGTTTGTTAGTAGGCTTCCTCTTTATTTGGGCCCGTTTCCGGTTTTTAAAAAATGATTAATTTTCATTAGTATCTGGTTTCAATAAAATATTACGGTTTTGGCTTTAATTGGAGTTTTCATCTCCTTCTGGATCAAAACTGTTCCTCAAAATCTGTTCGGAACATTTCCTGCAACTCTTAGGAAATACAGGGCTACCCTCAAAGGACGATATTTCAGACATGATTGTACGAAATTTAGACAGTCAATTTCTAAGATAACTTGTTTTTATCTTTGCCAAATCATCAACTAAGCAATAATAACCAAGCATAAATAAGGGGGGTTATTTCGAAAAATGCTTCAACTCAGAAGTTTTGCTTTATGCTTGGAACTGGTTCATGTTGGAGTTAGCTCTTTCCATTTTATTACCTAGAATGATCATCCTTGAGTTGTGTGAGCTTTTTTGGTTTACTGATTAACATTTTGGTCTTTTCTTTTTTTTAAAACCCACTGTGATTAAACAAAATAATGCAGAACACATTTTTGTTTAAGATAAAAAGTTGTATCAAAAGTAAAAAAGAAAAAGTAAAAATGCTGAAAATCCTTCAAGAACATTTCATCCAATTTCAAGAAGTTACCCGGCAGTGGCGTAAAAAATGGGGGTTATTGGGGTTATTTACCCCCCCCCCCGATTCCTNCCCCCCCCCTAGAATTTGTTTTTAAAAAGTTCCAAACTGTATTCAAACTTGGAATTTGGTAAAATATTTTAAGTTTGAAATATCAAAGGTTTACACCACTCGGTGCAAAGATTTAGGGATTAGAATATTTGGGTTTGTGGCAAAATCTAGAGAACATTCTGAGACTAAGCGTGGCAAACTTCTAACTGATAATCATATTTGATAACTGTTTATTGATATAACTTATATAAAATCGAAAATGAAATAAGATTATAAATGTTGGATATAATGATCAATCATAAATTCAAAAAAAGAGGAAACCGATCAACAAACTGAGAATTTACAACTTTTTCTGAAAATCGGAAACGGACCCAAAAAATGAGGAAACGGACCCAAAAAAAGAGGAAACGGACCCAAATAAAGGGGAAACCGATCAACAAACTGAGAGTTTAAAACTTTTTCTGAAAACCGGAAACTGACCCAAAAAAAAGAGGAAACGGACCAAAAAAAACGGGAAACAAATCAAATGTAAATATAGCAGAAACCGACCCAAAATATTCGGAAATCCCTCAACACTTTTTAGTTTTTGAGGGATTTCCGATAATTCTTGAAAAAAGAAGGAAACGGACCCAAACTCACTTTTGGGTCTGTTTCCATGTTGAGGCATTTCCGTGTTGAGGCGTTTCCATAGCACCACCAAACTCTGAGGTTAGATCCAGAATAAGTATTGATACCAAACTCAGAGGTTTGATAAAATTTACATTATGTATATATATTATATGAGATTCCATTAACATTTAAATTTTCACAAGATTTAATTACAATGTTAGATCCAGAATAAGTATTGATACCAAACTCTGAGGTTAGATCCAGAATAAGTATTGATACCAAACTCTGAGGTTAGATCCAGAATAAGCATTGATACCAAACTCTGAGGTTTGATAAAATTTACATATTTATACAAATTCCATTTACATTAAAATTTTATATATCATTTTCATCTCTGTCAAAATGTTTTTCAATTACTGATTGCACTAAATTCACATTAGAGACTAGAGGGGATGAGGGGTGCAAATCAAAAAATTCATTCCTTTGTGAAAATACAGTGATAACCATAAACATTGGAATTGGAAGAAGACATGTATTTGATATTGTTACAACGCAAATATTTATACTTGACCAATTTAACCAATCAATGAATAAGTAAAATGGGTCTGTTTACTCTACACAATTGCTGTTTCCGATGCACATTGGAGCCTTCAAATTCATAACTTTATTCTAAAAGTCGTCTTCCTATTTCAGAGTTTTCTGTCCGTCACCGTAGTACCAATATTTACTAATTGATTTTGCGACCACTCTTTAACTCATTAAGTTGGAACCCTACCCTTCAAAAATCGTGAAAGGGTTATACTCCCAAATGAAAATCAGTAATTGAAAACACTGCCTATCCATTCTTTGCGGAGATGACGGGAGTAGGATGTTTTTATCTGCTAACTGCTGTAAAATTAATTCGGTTTCACATCTCACTTTTTGGAACAATTATAAATTACATTTTAATTATGTGGTTCAAGTAGTGCAAGGTGAAACTAAGAAAAATCCAGAATATTTTTTTTTACAAAATTCATGTTTTTGTGCCTGTCCGTACTCAGCATGCAATTTTTTTTAATGTCCATAAAGTTTGGATTTATGTTAGTTCCAGCGTCCAGAAAATGTCATCATTCGTTAACAAATTTTGTTGTGGTTATAGTAAAACTAATTATGTCAAATCTTCTTCCTTTCAGGATTGTTTAAAAACTGATTACGTGACAACACCCCCCCCCCATGTATTCAATTTGGTAAAGGTGAATGTACCCTGGAAAAACAAGGTATTTTACTAACCCATTGTTTCAATTTGCTGAGGTACACTTCATTCCTGTGCTCGATTATTTAGAGCTGATGTCAAGCAAATCTTTCTTCATCTACCGTCATTGTACCCTTAAACAAATTATGACATATTTAAGATGTTTTCTGAAAAAAATCCTCCAGTGGTATATATTTTTCAGAATTTCCTCTGAGAAATTTTTCTCTTATAATTTGGGGGGAAAAACTGAAAAATTATATATTAAAAGGCAACTTTTTTCACCCTTTTTGATACTTTATACCAAAAATATTATTCATTTCCCCCTAAAAATTATTTCTTGTTTACAAAAAGTGAAGATTTTTTAAGAAAATATACATAACTGGAATCCTATATTTAATTTAATTTATGAAGTAAAAACTATTTTGAAAATGAAAACCCCCTTCCTTCCTTCCTTCCCTTTTTGCAAAGTTACAAACAACTAATAAAATAAAAACAATATTGTTAAATGTTTCATTTTTTAATTATTGAATTATATATCAAAATGTTTACCAATTCTCTTTGAGAACCAGTCTCAACCATTCTACTTCTCCAGCCAGGATCTGCTCTGGACCTTGATCCAGTCTCTCTGACCCGGGAGGAACCTGTCTGGGGAGATCTCACAGTAGTTAATCCTCTTGACCTTGATCCAGTCTCTCTGTCCCGGGAGGAACCTGCCTGGGGAGATCTCACAGTAGTTACTTCTCTGGACCTTGATCCAGTCTCTCTGACCCGGGAGGAACCTGCCTGGGGATATCTCACAGTAGTTAATTCTCTTGACCTTGATCCAGTCTCTCTGACCCGGGAGGAACCTGCCTGGGGATATCTCACAGTAGTTAATTCTCTTGACCTTGATGCAGTCTCTCTGACCCGGGAGAAACCTGTCTGGGGAGATCTCACAGTGGTTACTTCTCCGGACCATGATCCAGTCTCTCTGACCCGGGAGGGACCTGCCTGGGGAGATCTCACAGTGGTTACTTCTTCGGACCTTGATCCAGTCTCTCTGACCCGGAAGGAATCTGGTATATGAATGGATAAAATGGATCCTGGAAGAGGTGGAGTAAATGGGGGAATGAGTGCGACAGGAGTAGAAAGAGGAGGGGTGAGACGTAAGGGAGAGCTATATACAGGAGACATTGATCTCCTGTGAATTTTATGAGATGTACGCTCCTCCTCATCGTTGCTGCTACTTAAATCAAGAAATGAAGAGTTGGGATGCGTTGCACCATAACTTGATACATGTTCTCCGGCAAGTTCTAAAAATAAATCCATATATTAGTTAAAGGTGAAAACAATACATCTAACATTTATAATAATAACCAGTAGACCATAAATAAAAATAAACTAGAATGTAACCCAGCTATGCCTTTACATCTCTCTATAAAAGTCAACCCAGTCAACTTAGAATCTTCCCATGGTTCTATTGGGAAAAAAATGTTATATCAGCCAAGGCACAGTCGTTATGAATTTTGCTGATATTTTTAATATGACATCTTTATTACCGAACCGATTCAGGGAAAAGTTCTGAGGTTTCAAAGTTCAACGAAAATGGAAATTTCACTTATCTCATATTTGTCATAAGAAAAACACACATTTTCCCTTACATGTGCGTCAATGTTTCTAAAGCATTCATAAAAAATCCAAAAATTTGGTTAAATATTTTTGTAACTGTACTTAAATAAAAAATTTCAAGTCAAAAAAGTGAATTTTGAAGAAGTTGAGCTATTTAGAAGATAATAAATTTTAAAAAAGTCATGTATTTTTGCAAAAATATCTCCTAATTTTTTCAGATAAATCAAATTATCTCAGAAACGGCTAATTTGGCAAAACTAAACCATGTTTAATTCTAAAACTGTAGAACATGTCCTATAAAATGGTGTATGCCACATGTTTGCCCTAATAGCCAAAAAAATCATCATCATTATGAGATTGTGATAAAAAGTATGATTTGGACAGCAAAAATATTTCCCTCAAAAAATTATTTTGAAATATTTTTTCTAAAATGAAAAATTTATGATACAAATATTATTTATCCAATTTTGAAAATTTGAAACTTAAAAACCAAAAAAGTTTTAGTCTGATACACAATTAACTAATTTGCGAAAAAAGTAAGATTTTGATAATAAAAATATTGCCCCAAAAAATGATTTAAAAATAAAGTTTTCGAAAATGCAAAGTATGACACAAATTTACTTTTTGGAAATTTTTCAGAATTGAAACTTAAAAAACAAAAAAAGTTATAATATAAATTCAGACATGTAACATGTTAAATCGGCTTCTAGAACCACTGTGCAAGGGGTTCCTGAGTTTTGATCGGACATCCAAACAAACTACAAACAAATTCATTGTAAAGCTAAATATAGTAATACATGGCACTGCTTGAGTAGGTGTACCACCTCCAGTTCTGTTCTGCTCTGCCTGATTGCTCCTTATGAGAGCATTATAGGCTTCTTCGTCAGCATTCTAGATAAAATTTGTGTGCTATTGTGTGAATAAATAGGCTTTAGCTAGGCTCCTACTAGAGCTTTTGTGTAGGGGGTGCCCTCATAGGCGACAATGGGATCCCCCCCCCCTGTTTCTGAAGCGGGAAATGCACAGGACACTTTTATAGAGAAACCACAAAAGAAAATAATCAATTAAAAAACTAAGATATCAAATGCATACATGATCAGTCAAAGCTCTAAAGGGTATTGTTGTGAATCATAATTGAAAATATGTTTAAATGGAGTGTTCCCAAAAAATGAAAGGGGGTATAGGCTTACGGTGATAAATAATCTAAATCCATCAGTGCACATGTTTACTAATAAACACTGTCTTTAAATTACCTTATTTGCCAGATTTTTTAAGTTTCTATACTTCTGTTGCAATTGATGTAGAGTAAAATGTGAGTTGGACCTCACGTCAGAAAAATTCTTGTGTATAACATCCCAGGCTCTGAAATAAATGAAATCTAGATTATCAATTCAATATTTATCAAAACTTGATTACAATTTCTCATCCCTATTAAACTTATATTTTATAGTTTATACAAATGTTTTTTTAACTTATTCTAGACAGTGCTTAGGATCTGGAAACATTTTTTTGCCAGTGTTGATCCAGGACCTGGAACCCACATAACCAACTGACGTCGACTTAACGTCAGGGCGACGTCGTCTTTGGTCGGGCCAACGTCGGGGCGACTTCGATCTGAAGTCGATTTTAAGTCGTTTAGACGTCGCCTTGACGCAAAACGGACCGTTTTCGACCTTGTAGCGACGTCACCTTGACGACCTCTTTTTGACCAACCAAACCTATACTGGAGTCGTCCCCCGTCTATAACCGACCTGCTACGACCAACTGTCGAACTACTACAACCTCCAACAACCTACAAACGACCTCTCTACGACCAAACAAAGCTAATCTGACGTCGTCCTCCGTCTATGATCGACCTGGTACGACCTACTGTCAACCTACTACAACCTCCAACGACCTCCACAGCGACCTCTCTACGACCAAAAAAACCTATCCTGGCGTCGTCCTTTGACCTTGATCGACCTGCTACGACCTACTGTCAACCTACTACAACCTCCAACGACCTCCACAGCGACCTCTTTTCGACCAACCAAACCTATACTGGCGTCGTCCCCCGTCTATAACCGACCTGCTACGACCTCTCACGACTAACTGTCAACCTACTTCAACCTCCAACGACCTCTACAGCAACCTCTTTATGGCAAGCATACCAAGGGAAAATTCTACACGTTTTACAGGTCTGTTACAACAATTATACAGTTGGCTTTGAAAATAATAATAATTTTGTCTACCTTTAGTAATGTAAAATTGTTAAACCGAAAAGTATATTTTAAAAATAAACTAATCAAACATATAGTTTTAGACGTCAGACGTCAGGGCATCACATTTTAGTATATCACACTTTCTGTATCACAGGAAATTTATATAAGTATATTAGTATAACGTGTTCACTTTGTAATTTACACTTTTAAGTTTATAGTTAGAGAAATGTACCAATTTCTGGAGCTACCAGAGTTCTCGGAGCTTGAACTAACTCGAACTAATCCTCATCCCCCTCGAAGCTACCGGAGCGCTCAGAGCTAACAGAACGCTCAGAGCTACCAGAGCGCTCAGAGCTACCAGAGTGCTCAGTGCTACCAGAGCTACCCGAGCTCTCAGATCTACCAGAGCTCCCTGAGCTGCCCGAGCTAGACCTGGAGCTATTTTCAGATCTTACACGGCGCTCAGGATGGTCCAGATCAACAGCAGGATCGGCCAGAGAAGGATCGGCCAGAGAAGGATAGGCCAGAGGAGGATCTGCCATAGGAGGATCGTCTACTGCAGGCACATTTACATCAGGATCGGCCAGAGGAGGAATGGTCACATCACGATCATTCTGAAAATAAATACTCAGTTAAAAGCAATAAAATCAGTATCAATTGTAACACGCCATATTTTGGTTATTGTACTAGATTTGAATTTTTGTAATTTAATTGATGTATGTTCAACGATGTTAAAAAAAATATTTCCTAATTCTTTTTATAATCAAATTTCTTTTCCACTACACCTCAAAATGAGATATATTGTTAATTTCTCATAATATAAATCTCCGAAGTTGGATAAAGTTTTGTAGATGAGGTTTTTTATCCTGCTATGATTAAAATTTAAAAAACTTTCCACACCTTAAAAAGAGCTTTTTTTCGCCCATGATTTACTTTTTCACAAATATGCTTGCTTTTTTAATCTAGGTTTCTTAAAATTATTGGCCATCCTGATTAAAAAAAATAATAAAGAAGCATACCGTAGCATATTTCAAAACTTGTGAGATAGAGTTATCCACTTCAGCCTGTTTTCTTCCTGTCTGCAGGGCAAACTCAACTGTAATAGAACAAACATTTACAAGTGTGCAACAACAAAAATTTTATCTACTGTCATCAAAATTTAGATATTTACTCTTTTTATCCTAACCAGATGAACAATTCTTTGGGCAATTATTAACTTTTATCAATAAAGCATAAAAACGTAAATTTGGTCAAAGGTTAATTTTTACCTCAACATCCAATGTTGACAATTTTAAACTTTATTTTTTAAAAACATGTCAAAATTTTATTTTTTCGGAACCAACCTTTCATAGTCTTGTAAAGCAAAGGAAAGAAAATCCTGAAGCCCCTCTTTTTGACGACTGCATTTTTCTTGTTTCTCCCTTCTCTGTTATACAGTTTTAGTTCCCCTGGAGCTGCCAGGGTATTCAGAAACCCTCTCACTGCCTGGTTCAAGTTTTTATCCGCAAATGATCGAACATAGGCAACCTAGAAATATTCATTATATTATACATGATATTATCCTAGGGTTACTTTTGAGGGGGAGGGGGGGTGCTGCACTCCCCTGGTTATACATGTTTAAAGGTTAAGAAAAGATAAAATATTCTGAATATTGACGTTGAACGTGTTTAAATCAATCCAAAAGATGCNCCTGTGCACCTGTGTACATAAATATACCTGGACTATCTCCTACTGTGAACCTGTGCACCTGTGTACATAAATATACCTGGACTATCTCTGAGGGGTTTCAATGTAACTATAAAACCTAATTCTTACCCTGCTCTTCCCTCGGCTGACAAACCTCATGAAATCTGTTCACTATTTCCCTGTGCTGGACTTTCGAGCTCTTATCCTTTTCACTGAAACATATCAGTTATTATACCACATTCTTATAGATTTACTACGTGGCCAAATCAGGAATAATTCTTGTTATGGTCACCCATTTTGTGTAATAATTATAATTATTCGTGTAAAGGTGGTATAATATTATTATTTCTTCTTACGCATAATATACTATTATACCACAATCTTGTAGGATTTACTACGTAGTCAAAATCAACAATAATTCTTATTATTGTATTCAAATCCTCTAAGAATGTGGTATAATAGTATATTATGCATAGGAAGAAAGTGTAATAATAATATTATTAAAATTATTGTTAAAATATTGAAAGAAAAATTAAGGAATAATTTTGTTAATTTTTTCTATGACCATATAATGACCATAAGAAAACCAAATAAAATACACTGAAGAAAATAGGAAAGTGTAACAGGAAGAAATAATAGGAATGATGAAAAACGAACTAAAGGAAAGGGGAAGTTAAGGGAGGTTAAGGTTCAAACGGAAAAGTAGGGAAGAAGAAGAAAAATTAAAATAATGGAAAAGATTTTCAAGAGAATATATCTACATTAATAACCCCCCCCCCTTCGCGAACACTATTATACTTCGTAGACTTACTTTATACTAGTTACCAAGAGATCCAGCTTCCTCCTGAAAAATGTTTTAATTTTAAATATTTTAAATTTGAATTTATAGTGGAAGGAGACTTGCTAAACCCTACCCTGATTTTGCTAGTTTTAATAATAAAAATTTGAGGGGTTATTTTTCCCTTAAAGTTGAGATAGGAATACATGTCTAAGGCTTAGATCTATTGTTTTATTTTTTATTTTTTTTTAAGGACAATGACCAGCAGCCCCCCCAGCCCTCATTGTGAGATGGTTAAGACATTCTTTACGAACTATGGTTTCATACGCTTCCGTATGAACACATTTAATATCATATTTTTCTTGGAACTGCAGAGTAACTTCAAGTAATCCTACATATTCTCAGAGCTAGAGTGATGAATATTTTCAATTTTTGCTGAAAACCGGAAGACACTTTTTACAATTGAAAAACTCACATTTCGATAAAAAGAGTGTGATGATTATCATATTTACACTGACTTTAAGGGGTAACATTGTGCATCAGAAAACTCACTCCATAAATAGAATAGAAAAATGTTGAATTATGTCTTCAGTCCAGGAAATTAAATATGAAAAAGTACTCACTTCAATTCGATCATTTCAGCCTTCAGAGGATCAGCATCAGCTACATCTTTTGTCCACGGATTCTATAAAGTATAAACAATAATTTTAGTATCAATACCAATAATTTTAGTATCCGCAGATCTACCACACACATCTAAAAAAGTTTTGATTATTGTTAATTTTAAATACTTGATATTGATCTCTAAAGTAGGCGATGATAAAATTTGATTGCTCGATCACTCAATTTAAGTAATCTAAGCCGTGTACGACCTTGAAATTGAGGAGGAATAAAAATAATGCACAAGTCTGATAATAATAATAAAAGATCTGAAAGGGAAACCGACAGAACCTCAGGGTGGAGCGCATCATACTATATCCCAAGATTCATAACACAAAAGTTTCGAATAAANTGTTCTGCAACTGCATTTCTATTAAATAAACTTATTGAAAGCATACATTACACTGTAGACTGTAGAACCAGTGATAATGATATTGTTTATTACAGGGTGTCCCAATAAACGTTGAAATTGAGTGACAAAATCGTCTTTGTTAAGAATTTTCTTGTCCTACATAAGTACAACCGTAAGGAATCAAAACACGAAGAAACAAATTCTTAACTCTTATCAGACAAAAATCCTACAGATTATCTGAGACCCTGTAAAAAATTGTCATTTGACCTAAATCATCGTTAGTAACTTATTACATAGAATCTTATGCATTACCTAGACTGATAAAGTCTTCGTCCGTTTTTTTCTTCTTAATCCGATGACCGCTCCCCTCCTTGTTTCTATACCGTTTTGAAGACATTTTGAAGTCTGGAACATAGTTTATTTACAAATATATAGTTCAACTAGAAGCACTGCACGGTGTCATCATGCAACATTGGCATGATATATTCCTCATTATAGCAGGGAAGTTTAACTGCCCTTATCAGGGTTAGCTCAGCAAGTTCATCCGCGCTCAACACTATGTCTGAAGCTGCGCCTAACTTAAAGTTCAGTATTTCCCTTGAGGGTAGGGGCATATCGAAAATATCACTTGTAACCAGATACACTTTTGCACTGTAATCATCCCCATACTTCCCAGTTAGAAGCACAGGGGTTGGGGATGTGAGACGTGGAGATGTTGATGTGGAGATGTAGCAGTTGTTTGGGGGTTTAAAGGAGTACTCTGGCTTGGTCTTCAGGACAACAGGCCTCGTATCCTGCTCAGCTAACCGGGCCACCGCCTGCTTCAACGGCTCCTTGCCGTTTCTGCAAATAAGAATTTTTTTCTAAATAAGTTTAATTTTGTTAAAATGCTTAATTAATGTACTCTGTTCACCATTTTCCACAATTTTCAATTTCAAAACACAAATGTTTAATATATTAGGCTAAAAAGATACATATGTGAATCGGACTTTACTTTACTGTGAATAAATGTTAATGAATGTCACAGAAAGTTACAATTGTGAAGGAGAAAATATTACCGTACTCTCTTCTTCAACTGCCCCAAGAAATTTTCGAACTTAAATGCCGAGCTGTTGTCTAACGGGCCAAATCTCTAAAAAATATTTTATTATTATTAATATAAATAAGTTAATAAATAAGTTAATAAGTTAATAAAAAATAACTTTTAGGTAAAAATGTCATGAACTTCTTTTAAATTGACTAATATTTTTGACAAAGGAAAAAATCAAAATACTTTATTTATTTCTTTGCTAATTTTAATGCATCGTAAACACTGCTTGAAAACCAAATTTAAATTCAAACCATACTTAACACGGATTCCTTGAGACATTCTTTGAATGGGTCTCAATAAAAAAATTCAAATAAATATTAATGACAATAAATATCTATCTATCTATCTATTATGACATCCCAAAAACACGAATGTTACCAGGAAACCACACCTCCCGGCAACCCTCTGACTCCCTGAGGAGTGAGGAGTGAGGAGAGTTAGCATGACATGTGCAATGATACTGTTATATATTAAGATATTAAATGAACAATTCTGTTTTCACTATATCTATGTAACCAATCAATGTAGACCCTAGATATTTCAAATTATAAATTCTTTTAGAACAAATATTCTGAGCTTGGATTATGAAAGGTTTACAACGTCAGGCTCCAAAGATATTGGGGTTTGAATATTTGAGTTTGTGACAAAGACTCAATTCCTTTATGAATAGATAATGTTAAATACCTTGGACTAATCAAGATAGTGAGCGCAACTGATAAGTAGATAAAATGAGAGTAGGCATCCGCATGAAGCGTTCCCTGAAAACATAAAGCATCCGTATGATCCACAACAATCTAGAAATCTAAACCTGCAAAACTACGAGTATCCAAAGATCCAGATCCAAGATGCTGAGTATCTACTTATTAATGTAAATAGAACCTTTTGCTCTCAAACCTCTGTTAAAAAAAAAATTAACAAAAAAAAAAGGTTTATCAAGTTTTAGCATAAAAATAAGTGAAAAAGATTAATAAAAATTAGTAAATCAGTAATTGACAAAAATCAGCAAATCTAAGAAGTAATTTTTTTCGGGAGAGAACCAATATCTGGATCCCTATTAGCTTAAAAATTATATCAATGAAATGAATTCACAGCCATAAAAGTTTATCAATAATTTTCTTTTCCTCCCCCTAGCCTAATACTATGTATTTTAGCTATTTCCTGTATTTCACTTTTCCTTAACCTTCTAACTACTTTATTTTTTTTCTAATGGAATAATATATACCACTAGTTATCATTTATTCTTACCTTTAAAACAAGTTTCCCAATATAGAACAACATATTCCTGAACTCTGTAGCCTTGAAGAACGAATATCCTAATGAAAAGAATTCATTAGTATTAAGCCTGAATACAACGATAGTTCGTATTTAAACATCAACAAATATAGGCAATTCCAATTTCTTTCACTTGAAATCAAAACTTATAAAAAATCCACGTAATGTACAAGAAACCCAGTTCTACTTGTTTTATAGTAACAATCAGTCACAATTATTTTCATCGGGAGAAGATTCATTAGCCTCAGCCTTAAACAAAATTTAGATTTTTAAATAGTGTAAATACCTTGAAACCTCTTGGTTTCCTGGCAAAATCAAAAGGCCAATGCGTTCTCATTCCTATCATCGCCAGCGATATCTCATGAATATCTTGTGCGGACAATCTAAGGTAAGCAGGCCCCTTCCCAAGCCACAGCTTTAACAGTGTCTTCATGCACCCTAAGTAAAAAAATGTCTATTTGATGTGTACATGCATTTTTGATGTACAACCTTTATAAAACGTAAAAGTGTGAAAAAGTTCATTTTTATTTTTATTTTTGTTATCATATAATTAATAGCATTAGCATAGCAATAGCATTTTTCACTAACCTAGGCAACAACAGTGCATGTAGTCCAATGCGTAGTCTCTCACTTGGTCCATAGTGTGCAACCTTGTCATCGGGGAAACAACCCCTAAATAAGAATAAAATAAAAAAATTTGCTGATTATTTGATAATTTACTTGTGCTTAAAGGGAGTGCTCGCGAAAAACGAAAGGGGGTATAGGCGTACGGCGACAAAAATAAGTGCTTTTGATCGCTACTAATCTTCCTTCTGTCTGTTGCGTCTATAAGGAGCAAATTGTAAATAAATGAGTCATACCAAAGAATATAGCGCCCATACAAATTCAGAAAGTTGCAACTCGAAACAATCAATTTAATTCTACCTGGGGGTTTGTGGTGCTCAATCTGGTGTTTGCCCCTGAATGACTGATCTGTTCTTTTTTCTCCTATTTCCGAGTTTGGAAAGAATATTCCTCCACCAGGGGGTTTATGTCCTTCTGCGGTGCATCTGCCACAATAATACTTTCCTTAAATACATATGTGAGAGTTGCATTCTTCCTCTTAGATTCTAACTATAATTCAATTAATAATTAAAAATTAATTAATAATTAATAATAATACACTATTATCATTTGAATATCAACCTTCCCTTTATTTCATCAACCTTTACTTTTCTTGCTTACCGGAATGAGATATAGTTGACTTGATAAAGGCAAATGCAGGGATGTCTGCAACCATACTGATTGAAACCTAAACGAAGCTAAATTAAAAACAATGTTGATATACTGATTGAAACCTAAACGAAGCTAAATTAAAAGCAATGTTGATAACAATTATCATGTTCCAAATTACTGCAGTGCTTAGGATCCCGATCCGAATTCGTTGGATCCGCAAGATTTTGGCTTCCTGGATCCCGATCCGCAAAAATATGCGAATTCACGGATCCGGATTAAATTGGCAAAATATTAACCAAAAACTGCACCAACAACAAAATTTTACTCTTAAAGCCCAAGTCTGAACTATTTAAAAAAGCAAGATTATAAAATTTCCTGATTTCTGAATGGTTCATCAAGTTTTAGCATAAAATACGAGAAAAAAATAAGACAAAAATTTTCGAAATTTTGCTTTGTTAAAAAATCCTGGACCTGGATCCGGATCCGGATTTGGATCCGGATCATTTCAGCTCTTTATGTTACTCAATTAAGTAACTTACCCTCAAAGTCTTCCCATTGAACTCAAATCCATCAGCCTCCAGAACTGCAAGCTGATCTATAACCTCTATCAGGAAATCTGTATCGCTAGGCTTTGATCCTGGGCCGTAAGACAGCAGCAGGGGAACAACAACATTGGGCCTTAAATGAAAAGTGGGATGGCAATCTTTGTGCAAGAATTCTAATATATTCTGTTGTCAATATTTAAAATTCTCAATTTAAGTAATAATGTTTTTAAGTCATTAAACTTGTCCCTGAATGCAGTCCATTCAGCTAGAGTATGAAAATTAACAAAAATAAGAATGAAATATATAAAACAACAAAATTTAGTCGAGAAATAATTATATTTTTAAGAAAAAATTCAAGATCCGTGGCCGAATTTAAAGAATTTGAGCGGCAGTTTAAATTTAAGCCCTGGCTTAAATATGGTTGGTTCCACTTAAAATTGTATCAAATGTTTCAAGATTTAAGCCGGCGCTTAATTTAAACCGGGTTTTCGCAGATTTAAACCACGGCTCAAATTCTTTAAATTCCATCTCTGGATCCTTTCTTTTATTTTTTCCAAGACTTAAACCATTTAAAAAAAATTTAGGTATAAAATACCTTATGTTTGAAATGGAGCATAAAAGTGGCCAGAAGCTAGCACCCGAAGATTTAAACAATGGAAGACCATCTAAGAAATAAATAAAACACAATATACTTGGCTACCAATTTAAGCTTTAAACTCTGCAAGTCGCATTTTTTAATCGTTCACAAATTTAGGTGGATTTATCATTTTTAATATTGGATAATATTACATAACATGTTCATACTTGAACCAGGCATAAATCTCCCCTTGGGTCATATAAGTGAGCTAGCTTAATAGATTGCATCATTTTTACAGAAATGGAAGTTTTTTTAAGGAAAAATTAGATCAATTTAAAGCAAAAAAATAAAATGTTCAAGACATATCAACAAGGTACTGTTTTAAGACATTGAATTCGTTAAATATTAAACCAGTTAGTTTAGAAAATTTAGCAGATCCTGTAAAAACTAGTTTTTTCGCCAAAAATTTATTATTCTTATTTGGTTCCAAAATCGACCCACCCTAGCAATTAGGAATATTCAATAAAAGTTTATTTTACCTATGTTTAGCTGGAGATGTAGTTTGTCTAATTTCTCGCTGAGCTCTGGTGGATACCTAAGAATATTACTTCAAATATAAATAAATTTTAGCTTTACTTTATCAAGCAAAAAAATATTCTATTAGAAGTAAATGAAAATTTTAAAAAATTAACCTTTTTAACAAGGACAAGATTTGATCCTTGACATTGTAGGTATAAGACTGAACCCCACTCATTTCTACTGTTCTTAGGTTTCTCGGAGTTTTCAGTAATGTCCTAATTAACAATAATCAATAACAAATAAATAATTCGACAAAACTCAGACAAGCTTTTTCTGGTCCAGTATGAACTAGATGTGTTTTTAATTTTGAAAAACTGATTTATGTCAAGTGTGGTTTCCAAAGAACATTGAACAAGTACAAGAAAAAGTATATATATACTGTACAATGTACATTTAAACGCAAATTATTAGAATTTAAACCTGGGAAAAGGACAATATGAATATTATACCTTGCATCCTTTTTCTCCATAAAACCTGCAGTGGCAAATCGTCTGACGGTGTGAAGAAATTTAAAAATCCATTGGCTTCCCGCAAAATGTTCCCCAAAAATAATTAAAGTTCAGGTAAAATTAGGCAAAAAAACAGAGTCACTAAAAATTAGAATGTGGAAAAAAATATACTTCATTAAGAATATGATTACAATATTTCTCATTTCCTAATTAGATCATTGATCATTGAATGAGTAACTGCTGGGTTGTTTATCGCCCAATCCCTTAAAACAATGGTATATATTATATTAATAATTGATATGATTAATGATATATATTAATGATTTGAGAAATTTCTGACTAGATGAAACTTTGGATACCTTCACTCAAAAAAGTAAAGTTTTAAAAAAAAATGATAATTTGGAAAACAACAAAATATATACCCATGCCTTATAATTGAATCATGAGATATATCTTCCTCTTCATCCTCATCTGAAGATGGATAGTCATAATCCACATCGTCATCATCATCATCAGGAACATCGGTATAAAGAGGAACTTGACCGGGCACTGGATAGAGTATAGGAACTTGATCAGGAACTGGATAGAGTATAGGAACGATGATAGGAACTGGATCAGGAACAACGTTATGAACTGGTTCAGGAACGATGATAGGAACTGGATTAACTAAATCAAGGAAAATACTTGTTAAAAATTTATACTTAATGTCTTACCAAATCCCCATTACAAAGACAATAACCTTAACATTACGCATTTGAAAACAAAACAAATTGCAGTTTGAATGCTCTAAATATTCCATTTAAAAACGCTAAAATGACAGAAGGGTCTGTCCTATTGAACGATTTTTGGATCCCCCCCCTCCTATCAATTTTGTACATGACCATTTATTTTTTTGTTATTCAGGGTTAGGTTAGGTTATGACACTTTCTGGGCCGAGCGCTGCGACTAGGATGGGCTAGGGGTCGAGCACTGCGGCCACGGGTTAGGTTAGTTAAGACCCATGTACAAAATTGATAGAAGGGGGGGGCTGGGGGGGGGGTCCAAAAATCGTTCTCTAGGAATATACCCAGGTTGTCGCTCATGGCTGCCTGAGGACAAAAAAAACTGTTATGTGGCATAAAATGGTTGTGGCCCAAGGCAGTCTGCCTTCCCAAAAAATAAATTTTTATAAATTTTTAACAATCGAACAGCCTCAATTCTTCTTCTCAGAGCTGAACAATAAAAGAAATCAGGGGCGTCAATATAACTTTGATAAAGGACACCTCTTTAGAGGATTATCTATAAATTAATCATTTATAATTGAGATTATTTGCGGATTTCTGCAGCAAGAGAACAAAGGAAATAGTCATAATTAACCACTTAAATATACAAAGGACTTGATAAAATTATATATCTTTAAAGCGCTCTTACGGTTACGGAGGAATATATTAACCAAGACATTGCAGTACCTGCTTCCCTTAACACCTCCCTCCTGGCCTGGAAATACCCTATCCGGTCTCGTTTACGTTTAGACATTTAAACAACAGTTGACATTCTGAAAATATTCAAGTTAAATATACAAATGTATATAAAAATGAAATATAAAAACCTTGACTGATGTGTCACAAACAATCAAAAGTTGGAAGGTAAGGAGAGTGTTTCGGGAGCTAGGAGAGAACAGNGGGAGGAGGGGGGTTTCTGGAGCAAGGAGAGAAAAGTTTGAAGGGAGGAGGGGGGTTTCTGGAGCAAGGAGAGAAAAGTTTGAAGGGAAGAGGGGAGTTTCTGGAGCAAGGAGAGAAAAGTTTGAATGGAGGAAGGGGGTTTCTGGAGCCAGGAGAGAAAAGTTTGAGGGAGGGAAGGGATTGTCAGACCTTTCAGTAGAACAAGGGGAGGCATCTGGGGAGGAAGAGGAAGTTTTAGGCATTTCAGGAGAAGGAGTGGAGGAATCTGGAGAAAGGATTATATATTTGTAGGATAAAGGAGAAGGACTGAGTGGATTGGTCAGTAGCCTATTGTACCAGGCGGCGGGGAAAGATTGCGCCTCAAAATAATCCTCCTCCTCATCTTCATCCTCAATAATATTATACTTTCTTTTTCTTTTCATTGTGTGCAGATCTTAAAAATGAAATTGAGTGCATCTTTTGACCATTTACACCTGTAAAATTTTATGTTTCCATACATCAACATACAAAATGACAAAATGAGTTAACTGGTAAATTCTTTTTGAACTTACATTTTTAGTGAAGGGGGAGGGGGTTGGTCCTAAAATCGTCCTCTGAGAAACATTGCCCTAATTTATTCACTTCACATTTATATAACTATAAACTTTTAAGTTCACAACATAAATAAATTTTACAGGAGGGGGCACGCGCCCTCTTACCCCCGGTTACAGCCCTATATGTTTTATAAATTATAATTTCTGTAAATTAATATAACTCAAATTCAAATCACCATCAACCGCATCCCGCGTGCACAGAAGTACAGAAAACTGTGCGGCATTTCTCCCAGAAACAAATCCCTGAAAAGGGGGGGGGAATACAATTTGTAGATTTGAAAAAAATTTCGTAAAAAATATTTAAATAATATTATAACCTTCATCACAGAAGTATTACGATTTTTGGACCCCCCTCCCCCCGGGACTTTCATTATAATTGTGTACACTGACTCCAATATTTCAACAATTTGAATTTTTCATCTCAATTTTGATAATATTTAATTTGTATAATTTAAACTCTGACCTCACATAACCTAAATTTACCTAAGAATGACCTTGCAATATAATGCGACCTAAATAGACCTAACCTGACCAAAAATGACCTTAAAGATTAAGGTTGTTTAAGGTCGGTTAAGGTCATCCGACCTAGCTCGACCTAAAATGACCTTAATCAATGTCGCCTAAGGTTGTTTTAAGTCGGTTAAGGTCATCCGACCTAACTCGACCTAATTCAGACTTAAAACAACCTAGATTTAAGGTCGGTTTAGGTCGGTGGTTTGCGGGGTTGGAGAAATAGCTTGAAATTCCACCTCTTCAAACCCAGCATTATTCCTCCCCTCATTCCATGAAGCTGTAGTCGCCCTGGATGAATTTCTAGCACGAATTATATCTCCCCCACCCCTTTCCTGCCTACCCCTCGGGCAGCCAGCCAAGCACCCTGAAGCAACATATTAATTACTCAGATGTTTAGCACTCCCCCCCTTATACGTGGAATCAAAACTACCCCGGGTTTTGGTTTTGGTTTGATTGAGTCTCCGTAATTGTCTCTGGGTATTCATTACAATACAACGAAGAGTTTGGCGAAAACAGATCCAAGGATAGGGATAATTACCTGTCATAATCTCAAGGGCCCTGAAACCCAACCATACTCCAACAAAGATAGAACCCAACATCAACCAGAAATCAACATCAATCCCCTTAAAAAACCCACCATCGGCCAGCTTTACAGAAATTTCTGGAATTATATAGGGCGTGCCACTAGATGAGCTAATACTCGGTTTTATTGTACTAGGCCCGGGAACCCTTGTACTTGAACCAATCTCTTCCTCTGAGCTGTCGTATACTGGAATAATCATTTTGATCTCTCTAAAACCAATATTGTTATAAACAAATAGCCTTCCGTAATTCACTTAAACTGAATTAAATATTGAAATACACTTCCCCTTTAAAAAAAAGTACAGGGGGGTGTCCATAGCTTTAGCGAAGCTAGTTCTAGCTAAACTGAAATGTAACCCAAATTTCAAGAACCTCTCCTTTCTTAAAATCACGAGTTTGTAATTTGAGTAGATAGGGAGTTTTTTTTTTGGTGGAGATAGTCATAGAATATTAATTTATGATTGTTTATATTAAAACAATTTCTGTAAACTACTATATTGCATTAAGGCAATTAATAAGGCTATTAAAACTTAAACGATCAATAAAACCTTATTTATTAATATACTTGTTTAGGAAGGATGTACTACAACAATCTCTGCCTTCAACTAGAAGAAACAAGCGATGAACAACCTTGCGAGTATTTTGACGCCACTGCGATTTGTACAACGGAATTACCACCAACAGAGCCGGCTACCCTTCGGGACATCGTTATACACCACATACACTCCAATTTAGCAGTTACAATAAGAATAAATGAACGGGTTACATTTTGGAATTTTTCTCCCCAAAAGACAATAATACCAAAATTACCCCTCCCGCTTTCAATACAAGCAGAGTTATTGGTCCTTCATGACCACTGTGAGCTGCATGGGCATTGCCAGTACGAACGATCAAACACCTTCAGTAGAGGTCTCATATATATCGGGAGAAATTCCCCTTTGGCTATGCTATTAAAAGAGTGGGGAAAACCATGGGAGAAAATGCTTTTGCGATATTTCCGAGTTCCGGATTTTGTGTACGAATTGATGCGATTAGTTCCCTTTCGGATGCCGACTGGCCCAGGAGTTCCGAGCAGGGACTTTCTAGAGATTGTTAAACAATCTATCCTTTTTTCCAAGAGGTTAGGTCGATTTCTATAGTAGACCTAAGCTTATCCATGTAAATAAAAAAATAACATTTTAGATTTGTAATTTGATTTTTTTTTTAAAATCTTTTAGTGGGAACAGACCCTTGAGACCAAACTAACAAATTGAGATATAGATGGAACCTAATATAAATTAGCCAAATAACCCCAGGAAGCGTCTCTATAAATCAAAAGAAGAAATAAAACATGAATTCAGTTCAGCAAGGAACCAAAAGAAAATAACCAAGAACATTATTTAGAATGTTAGGACGAGAATTAACCAGGGACCATAACCCTACAGACCGGGAAAGAAGTACAGTTTGATAAGGAACTAGAAAATAACCAAGAACATTATTTAGAATGTTAAGATGATAATTAACCAGGGACCATAACCCTACAGACCCGGGACAGAAGTCACATGAGACGAGGGGATCTATGTATTGATGCAAGATCAAAAGGTTCTAGCTTAAATTAGTTTTTTGGACAGTCTTTGGGGGTCTCAGTTCAACAAAAAAGATTATTTTGTAAAATCCTTATTGAGCACAGGTATATTTGATTTCTGAAGTAATTTACATGTATTTAAACCCCAGTTTGTATATTTAACCATGTTACCCTCTTGTCAGTGAGTTTTCTCTCCCCTTTTCCCACCCCCCCCCCCATAATAATCCTGAAGATATCAATATAGTTTCTTCCCCCCCACCTCTCTTTTCTTTTAACATCTTATTTATGAACAAGACAAGAGGAAGAAAAAAACATTTTTTTTTGTAAATGAGGTTGACTGGAAAGTTAGTACTTCAATATTTGATAGGAACTAACTTGTGTAAAGGAGATGAACTTTTATTTTTCTTAAAATAATATTGCTCTCAAGGGAACAAAGTGGGGTAATTACATATTCCCCCTCCTTGAGAGAGAACAATTAGTGATCCTATTGGTCAGCATTGGCTTAATGGGACTCATTAACTGGATGGCATCCGTGGGAAACCATCCTTGAATTTCTAAAATAATCAACTCCAATAAAAGGACTTAAATATTGGAGAAAATAGTTAATATAACCATAAGGTATCATGTCTTAGAAACAATTGTTCAGAACAAAATTATAGGACTGCCTTGAACTTCGAAATTTTAGAAAATCATACATTAAAGTATTTGACAATCATTGATAAATATTTCCTGCTCTAGAGATAATACGTAGAATAAATCAAAATATTTCCAGACAAATTAAAGTGTTGGACGTAGAAAATAATCATTTCCAATAAGAGGACTTATAAGGGTTAGAAAATAGTTGCCTTAATATAAAGGATTTGAACTTAGAAATTTTAGTAAATCATAATTCAAATCATTTGATATCTATTCATGAATATTTCCTTCCTCAAGTAATCTAATCCTCTGAACTTTGTCTCCATCATATAGAACAAAGTCCGCTCCATTTCCATAAATACATGACAGGAATAACTTAACATTGAAACAAGGTTAATTCAGCATAAGATCCGTTATGAGTTTCCAATATATGTCCTATCTATTTAAAGTCTAAGTCTTTTCAATTGAATTTTCACTGAACCAAGGCCTAATTTAAGCCGTAAAAATAATCAACGAATAAAGTCCTGCGTGGCAATTAACATCAAGGCGACGTAAATTAAGTGTAAATAAATAAAATGTCTTAGAATTAATGAAAGAAAGAAAGTTATTTTAAAATTTAGTTTATTTGGTCTAATAGTAGTTATCAGTTTAGCCAGTGGAGTTTTCTCTTCTGGGATCCATCCTGAATAAAGAAGAATTAATATTTAGGAATAGTCATTTAGTAGTAAGATGGTAGTAATATGTAGTAACTAACCAACCAGTACAAAAGTTACTAAACAGAATAACCATGGCCTTACCAACAAGCTGCTGAAAATTAAAGCCACAGAAAAGATTGAGAAATAAGATAAATAATGATAAATAAAGATATAACCTGTACAAGATACAATTCAATTGTCCTATAACATTTAATTCATTAAAATTGAGCTGGTTAAGCTTAAAAAAAATGTTTAATTTTTGACAAAATTTGTTATTAAAAAAGCAATAGGCAAAAAACATGCTCTTGCGTTACCTAGGCAAAATGTTACCCTAGGCAAAATGTTACTAGGCAAACTTGAACTGGGCAAAAAGTTGCCTAGGCAAAATGTTACCTAGGCAAA